ACACCAGGGAATTTTTGCATATCTTTCTAAAAAGGACATGTTTTCTAAATATATTTTAAAATATATAAATTTCATCGAGGTGCTGAATTTTGGGGGGAGAGGAATGCACGGCTTCCCCCCAAACAAACAAACAAACAAACAAGCCATACCACTGAAGGCATTCCAATAAAACCATCAGTGGTGAAACTCACACCAAGTTCAATGTTTGACTGACAGCTCATGCAAATCAGTCCTCACCTCTGTGTAGAGATCACATCCAGGCATGGTAGTGAGATGCCCCCCACATTATGAACTGACCAGACCTGGAAAGAAATCATCTGTTGGACCACAACTCCCAGGAGCCCCTTTCCAGTAGGGACCATGTCCCATCTCGTGCACAGCCCCAAGTGGGTTTGGCCCATGGAAGGCCAACATGCCCTTCTGACCCTGGATGTAGCCCAATCCTAGATGTAAACCTTACACAGTCATCCTGAGGGTTTGCACCCTTGGTTACATTTAGAGATTCAGGTTGTAGTCTTTTCCGTTAACCTGAAGACCAGTCTCTGCCCTGGGCTAAACAATATAATCCAAGATCCCTTCTGAGTCTATTTCTGATTGTGAATTTGCTACATATTCTGCAGGTTGCATGCATGTTTTCTCTTTCCACAGTCCCTACTAGATCATGGACCTTATTGTCGCACTTATCAGGGCACAAAGAGAGATCACACCTCCCACCTTAGAAGCCCAAGTGGAAATGTAAAAACTCATTTCCTCCTCTCTTTCCAGGGATATTGTAACTTTTACTCTCAGGATAGCAAATCAACTCTGCATCTGTACTTTTGAGGTGAGAATCTTTTGCAAATTCTGATTTAATCCATTTATGTGTACAATTTTTACATATTTCTTTGCCTGGAAAGGATACACCACTTCCTATAAGAACAATCAGCTCTTTACATTAAAAATTAATAGGATTATTACAGCAACAACACATAGTAACTCATTTCATGAGTCAGGGCTGTGTTTTTGACCAAATGCTACATTTGCTGCACAAAGGATAGGTTTGCTAATGCTATGCATGGCACAGTTTAAGACAGGCCATTTCCAGTGATTCTGACTCTAATCAAGATACAGAATTGGGCATAACATCCTTTTAAAAATGTTTGTTATACAGAAATTGTTTCGCCTTGCTTAGTAAGCTGTGTCTATATTAGTGCCTATCTGTGGTTTTAGCCAATGTTCAGCTGATTTGTAAGGTCTGCACTAAGCACACTTGGCTGTATGGTGCTGAAAATTGTTGCCTGGATTTTGGATGTGCTTCATCAATGTGCAATTGAGCCAAGACAAAAGTCTAATCATGAGTGGGCTTGTTGTGTTTAGTGCCTGCATGGTGTCAGACGCTGGGTGAGCAACTAGTTGTTCTGTGTGACATGATGCATCCGTCAACCTTTCCCGCTGTGTTTTATCGATGCCAGCAAATAGCACAACTCTGACTTTAATCTGCATTGAATGCCTACGTGGAAATTTTTACACTTAGTTCATCTACCATTGCTGGGAGAGATTAAAAGACCATCTAATACACACACAGATAGCCAGCTGCAAACCCGAGTCATTTGCTCCCTAGTGGCTTTCAGATTCAACCAGATTCATAGAGCCAAAACGACAGTTTGCCACAATACTCTGAAACACAGTATAGCTTAACCAACACAGATATGGTCCTCAACACTGATTTCACATGAGCACTAAGAAGGAAATTCCCAGAGAGTTGCCACGATAAGTATTTAAAGGTTTAAAGGTTCCCCTTGACAATTTTTGTCCAGTCATGTTCGACTCTAGGGGGTGGTGCTCATCCCCGTTTCCAAGCAATAGAGCCAGTGTTTTGTCCGAAGAAAATCTTCCATGGTCACATGGCCAGTGCGACTTAGACCTTTCCTCTTTTTTTCAACAGTTATCTTTAATTTTTTAAAAGAAACCTACGTGCTATTGACACTTTTATTTCTATCATAGCAGCAGTACACTTTCTAATATCCTTACCATAGGAAAGAGTGTGATCCTTCTCAATTCTTTCAGCACCTTAGGCTGCCGTGGTAAGTCTTGCTCAGTTTCACTTAATTTGTAGAAAACTGAGATGCAGTGAGAGTAACACCAGGAGTCAGCACTTCACATAGAATGCCTTACAAAGGAAATAATTTTGCAAGTCCACCAGATCACATGGATGCCACCACACTAAATATCTATAGAGAACTAGCATCAATGTAGTGGTTAATAGTGGCTTACTCAGATATGGGAGATCCTGGTTCATCTGGGAGATCCAGGTTCAAGATCCCACTGAGCCATGGAACTGATTTAGGGCCCATTATTTTTCCTCAGCCTGTTCTACTCAACAGGGTTGTTATGAGGATATAGTGGGAGGGACAGCCATGGAACTACTGGGAAAAAGATAGAACATAAGTATGAGAAATAATATACCAAATGAATAAACTCCATGTATTTACTCAACATTACAAATGCTACTGCCCATGTATCACTTGCCAACATAAAAGCTTCGGATGTGGTTACAAACATCCCATCCTCCATGATCAGGCAAATAGGCATATGAAAGAACATGTATGATATCACAGTGCATTAAGAACACCTGAGCTCCACTGATTTAACTGGTATTTCTTGGTACAAATCTGCATGCCAGGTTGTGGTCAATAAATACAATCTAGTGGAAGCCTCTCCTATGCGAAACACGTTAAAATTGAACAGGAGTTGCTCACCACCACAACATGCAAATCTAGACTATATAAGAGGAACTGGAAAGCAGTGTATCCAAATGTAAAATATGCATACACACATGCGCAAGCATGCACATGTAACCCCTATGAAATATTGGTTCAGCTCAAAGGGGTGGGACTAAGAAAGACTGGGGCTGTAAGAGGTTTGAATCAGAAAGAGCAGGAGAGCTGAAGAGGTTGGAGCTGCTGTTGCCACTAAGACTGCTAAGGCCCTTGCACACTTGGTTTAGGGTTTTGAAGACTCTGCATGTGGAGCTAATTCTTCTATGTTATGGATACCCAACCCAGTTGAAGAAGATATCTTGGATTTCTGTCTGAATTTGAATTTTTTTTTTAAAAAAACTAGAATTTTGCATTTCTACAAGCAACTTCTGTGTTAGTGCTGTTGCAGAGGACTTGGATGCACAAACTGTAGCATTTTATTGTTGTTATAACTGCTTATATTATCTATTATATAACTGAATAATAAGAGTCTAATTGTGTGCTTGCAAGGTTCATCAATAGATATCTAAGTAACAAATAGCTGTATACAACTAAAAAGTGTTACACACGCATGTGTGTGTATACACACACACACACAGAGAGACAGACACACAGACACACAGACACACACACACGTACCCTCAGGCCAAAAGGAAAAGTTTTAAACTTCTGCTGTATATGGCCAATTGCCCATAATTCCTATATATTAAGAAATCATCATGTAGTCATGCTTCCCAGACACATTCCTACAAGAGACATTTTTGTCTAACTGCTTTCCACAATATTTGGTTGGGTACTTGTTTCTTTATTCCATTTTTTTCTTCCATCCCTTAAATATTTGCTGAATGTTTGCAGCCTTTCCATTTGCTGTATCTCCTCAGTGTTGATACAGCTGAGATTCAGACTTTGGATGGGGAAGCTGATGCTTTTTATAGCTTCGGAAATGTTATTCACGATTCTGAGTGAATGGTTGCTGATTAACTGAGCACCCCAAAGTTCTTTCATTCAGATATTCACGATCCTATAGCAGTGATCCATTATATACCCTGCTACCAACACATGAAATCATGCATTGTTTGAAAGCATTTTAGCACATCTAAAATACTAGGAGAAGAAACTGTTACAATCAGTTCACTTTTCTCTACTGAGCCAAAAAATCAACATTTCAGAAAAACTACAGTTGCTGTTTTGAAAACCAAACACTGAAGCACACAAACAAAAAAATCCTGAATTAGTATATAAACATAGAACAATCATAACATGGTGTAACTCTGAATGATACAGGCCTGTGCCCAAGCTGAAGGAAAGTTTGGAGCAAAGTTGATAACTGTTTGTTATCATGGATGTAAAGAAAATTCATGAGCGCACACACTAAAAATAGGGTACGACCACCATCTCCAGAATAGTTACAATAAAAAAGCAATCCATGACAACTTCGACAAGTGACTTAAACCACCTTTTTTTCACCTAATCCGAGAGAGTAGTGCAACAGAAGGAATGTATTGGAACAAACTCCATCACTTGAAAATCACACTAGTGGACCTTGACATTTTAGCCTGCAGCTCTGCTCATTCATACTTCATATATATGTAGGAGAATAGGAGGGTGTTATAATAAAGTGTAGCTCGCTGATGTCTTTGAGATTTGTATCTGTAGTGGTGTGTGTTTGTGTGAGTCTGCTGTGTACCTCTTCCCCTTTCCGCTTTCTTTCAGAAGCCTCCAGGCAGAACCTCTCCTTCCCTGACTCCTGCACTCTTTCTTTCACTCTGTCCTTCACAACAGGCGCAAGGAAACAGAACAAGCCAGGAAAAAGAGAAGCCTAACGGTTGGGGGGTCAGAAAGTTTGGCAGATGGGGGTGGGAAGGAAGGAGATCTGCAACAGGGACCCTCCCCAGACGGCTCAAAGGGCCAAAAAGTGAAACTGGAAGTGGCAAGAAGTCATTTCAACAAGGGGTCTCGGGGGAGTCCTAAATAGTGGAGAGGGGTCCTGAACCAACCCTCATAAATGCTTTCAGCAACTTGCAATTGATCCTCTTTTTCTACCAAAAGAGGAGGGATGGGCAAGCTAGGAGTGCCCCCCCCAAGCAGCCCCAGGGCTGCATGAAGCTCCCGTGTGGCCCTTGTTTTCCAGTGTGGGTCAGGGATTGCTTTGGAGAGAGATACCTAGTGTGAGGAGCAGGAAGAAGAAAGTGAAGGAGAAGAACAGTTCCCACTTCCTGGGCAGGCCACTTCTTCCAAGCACACAGACACAGAAACACTCACCTGCTCAGGTCCTTGGAAGCAGATCCTGCAGAGGGGGGTCCTCATTCCACTGTCCAGACTGCTTCCCAGCGAGTACCGATCCTCCGCTTTCCCTTTGCAAAAGTCGTCGTCGGAGGCGCTGCTCATCATAGAGAGGGGCTGCTCTCCTTCTCCCCCAGGGCTTCCCCACTCTTCATCCGGGGGGCTGGTGGTTCCCGCTCCTCCTCCTCCACCGCCGCCGCCGCCGCCACTCCCGGCACTCGGCGCTCTCCAAGGTCCCCTTCGCCCTCCATAGAGCGCCGTCAGCGTATTGTTATTGGAAGCCTGCTGTAAGCCCAGGGCTTGCTCTCCACTGTTCATGGGAGGGAGAGGCGGGGGCGAAGGCGGCGGGGGCGCGGGAGGTCTCCGGAGGAGGAAGACCTTCAGGTCATTGAACAACATGCGGCAGCGGCACTTGAGGAGACCCTGGTGGCGCAACATCTGTCTGGGGATCAGCAAACCGTAGCAACAGTACCATAAAACGATCGCACCAGTTGGTATTAACATGTGCCTTCCGTTCCAGACCGGCACGGGTGGGAAAAGTTGGGCCGGCAGGGGGCGCAGAAGAGCAAGAGGGCTGGACCGGCGGTTTCCCGGTTTCTTCTTCTAGCTCCTACCCGACCCACGTTGATGCCCAGAAATTAGATCTAGCTGAATAGCAGAAGTAGAATTCGCAGGAAGGTATTTTGGATATTTCACAGCAACCTCGTTTCAAAAAACAAAACAAAAACCTCACACAGCAATAATGAGGTTTTTTAAAAAAAAACGATATTTCACAGCAACCTCGTTTCAAAAAAACAAAACAAAAACCTCACACAACAATAATGAGGTTTTTTTTAAAAAAAAAAAAAACAACTACAAAGTATTAACTTTAAACCTCCTCCTCTCCACGTTTTTTTTCTTCCCAATTACTAATTCCACAATTTATTCTCTCTCTCGCTGTCTCTCTAGAATTTAAATGAGATATTAAGGGAAACAAGCCTTCTCTACTTCAAGGTGTTGGGTGGGCTAGTTTAGAGACACAACCTGGCAGGAATGGCTAACAACTGGTAACTCCAGAAAGGAGAAAGTGGGGCGGGGGGAAGAATTCAAGTCACCTAAAGGTGCGAAGACAGACACACACAGAGAGAAGGTACATATATATTTAACAGTATTTGGCATGTCAAGTATTTCCCTTTATTACTATTTTCCTATTTAGTCGGAACATTTTAAAAACGTGGTTCTGGCAGAATAACAGCAGAGCGGGTCTTTAATAAAATGCAAATTTTGCTCTAGTTGCTGTTGTCATCAGTATTATTCAGATGAATATCAAAATTTGATTTCATTGACAAAAAAGACTTACATATTTGGGGGGGAGAGAGGGGAAACACCCCCTCACTCTTGGATCCTCACAGTTTACTTTTAAGGTTGCTTTAGCAAAATATCGGTAGAAATATTCAAAGTTCTGAAGGGCAATGAGTATTCTATGAGGTTAATCTTGATTCTTAAAATGCACCGAAGCGTTGCATTACCTCCCCCGTGCCAGGAACCGTCTGGACCACACGCAAGCAGTGAGGAAGCCTTAAGGGAGGGGACCGGGATCTTAGCTTTTCTTCCATTTGTTTTCCTTCCTGGAACTGAAAGAAACGAACCCACCCACCCCCCCAAATCCGTCGCGGTCTGCCCTTGCCTTTGGCTCGAAATTGACTAAGCAAACGTAGATCTTACATTGTCACGTTTCCTTTCCCCTTTCACAAAACAGGGACGTCATCAAACGCATTGACAGCTTGTGTGGACCATCGTGGCTGACGCGGAAGGGAGAAAAGGGACGCTCAGCAGAGGCAGGGATCTCCTTTGGATGCAGGCGACTCCTTCCTGGCCGTCGCTACCACCGTCTCCCGTGCCATCGTCTTCCTCTCCCCGGGTCGTCTTCGTCGTCGTCGTCCGCCGCCGCCTTCGCCGCCGCCTTCGCCGCCGCCGCTTTCTCTGATGGTTGTTTTCGCTCAATGGCATTGACGCTCGACCATGGCAAGTCTTTAAAAATAAGAGGAAAGGGGGTGGGGGTGAGGTGGGGAGGAGACGGAGGCACAACAACACAAACCCGCACCGCGGATAGAGTCTCCTGCCTTTGGGGTGGGGGGCAGGGGTGGGTGTAAAGAACTGAAAATTTAAAAAAAAAAAGGAGGGGAGGATTCAAGGAAGCTTGCTAAGCAAGACGATGCGCTAGACCGAAAGCACGCCGGCAAAAGCGGCGGAGGCGGCGGGTGGTTGGCTTGCAGCTTCCCCGCGTCTGGGCAGCGTTCGGTTTCTCCCTCTCGCCAGCCTCCCCGTCGCTCGCGCTCTCCCCATCCAGCTTCCAGTGATGATGTGGCTGTTGCTACCTCCTTGGGAGGCAATGGGAGAGGAGGATAGTTTTGCAGTGCAAACGGGGATGTTGAGGAAGGGCGGGAGTGAAGGGAGGGTGGGTGGAACGTGATTCTCTCTTCTCTCCCTCCTTCTTCTGCCTCCTGCTCAAGCCTTAAATAAATAAAGCGAAGACAGAAACGGGGTGGTGGAGGAGGCGGAGGTGGTTGTGGGCAAAAGATGTGTGTGTGTGTGTGTGTGTGTGTGTGTGTGTGAAACAGAGAGAGAGAGAGAATAAATTCAGGTTGTTGGCCCAGCCTTGCTTTTCTTCTCCGCCCCCAGCGCCGACATAGGAGCTGTCAATTAACCATGGGCGGGAGTGGGGACTGCGAGAGTGTGGGGAGGAGAAAGGGCTTGCATAGATAGGAAAATAATGTGCCCGGGAGCCCTGACGGTATTAGCTGGAGTGAATGTGCGGTCAGGTGTGCGTTGTGTGTGTGTGTGTGGGGGGGGTTTGTATGCTAGCGGATGAAGAGAAGACGGGAGCTGCAGCAGTTTCAGCACCAAATACGCTGGACAGCTCCCTTCCCAGGTTGGCGCGTCAGGCTGTGGAGAGACTGACGCAACCAGCACA